AGGGAAGGGATGGCTGGAAATTGCCAGCCAGTAAAACCAGCACCACCGGCATATTCCTCACCTGTACTGACCTCATCTTGACACATATTTGCTGGTCGCTTATGCCAGGAAAGGAGCTACTGCCCAAGGGAAGCAGTGCTGTGCATGGAGGAGCAGGCAGATGAGCTGACCCCAGCACACTGCTGCTGCAAGCCCTCATCAGCCCTGCGGCTGTGAGCCCAAGCCAGCTCTCACCTGCTAAATCTGTTGCAATGGTTGTACTGCCCTGCCTGCCAGCACTTGCAGATGCTGCCCTGGGGGTCAGACCCCGGCATTGCCGCTCCCCAACTCCCGCCACGCAGCTCTCATGGATGAGACTGCACTGGAGCACCTCCAGCCACCGGTCACTCCTGGGGAGCATTTGCAGATCTTGCAGAAAAGCTGTCAGCAGCCGTTTACCCACCAAAGCCACTTAGCAGCCAGAGCTCGATGATGTTCACAGCACAATTTGGGCTGCAGTGTGGTCTGAGTGGGCTGAGCTCTCCCTGGTCACAGATGGGAAGGTGGGAAGTGCCCTGTCAAGTGTGCAAGTTTCTCTCAGCAGAGGGCAGCAAGTGCTTACCCAGATGTTTCCACATGTCGTCCTCTGTGGCATGTTTTCCAAAGGATCAGCGTCACCAGCCAAGGCTCAGCAAGGAAGGAGCTCTGGAGGAAGGAGCCTCTCCCAAATCAAGGTTATTCCTGTCCAGCCATGATGCCTGGGCTCCTTTCCCATATGTATGAAGAGGTACTGTCTATAAGCATCTATCAATCAGTGTCTTTCGGAGGGTAGGGAGTGGTGTGCTGTTTTTGCCATTCCTCCCCAGGGAGATGTCCAGAGAATTCAAAACAAATCGCTCCAAGCTTTCATTCAGTCAAGAAAGCTCTTCCTACACTCAGACCTGGGAGGAGAGCACTTGGAGAGCAGCTTCACTCCTGCAGCCGTGAGTCCCACAGCTGAGACCCAAGCCCAAAATGCTCAGACTCTGACCAGAGCTGCTGACCCTTGAAGAAAACCAGTTCCCCTCTGCCACAGAAGAGATTTTGCATGCCCCTGCTGAAACCAAGCTCATCTGCAGCCCCTTTACCACCACAGGCACAGCCAGGGCTGAGCTGTGGAGCTGTGGGTGGAGATCTCAGTGCATGAACCAGCCCTGGGCTGCTCAGTCCAGCAGCACTGTGCTGCCCATTCATTTTCTCCTCATCCTCAGGCAGATATTTCATAAAAGCTCAGCCCATTACCCAGGTTTCACTACAGAACAGTCATTTTAAAGTCTCTTTCTTGGGTTTATCTCCACATGCTGCAGTTAAATAAATACTGACTGAGTCCTGCTAGGCAGATTTTGTCACACCACTTCCATTCACTTGCTCAAATTCTTGCTGCTCCCAACTAATATGTAACTCTGGGAAGCAACATTCATTGTTCCCTGTGAAGAGCTGGTTCACTCTGGCCACATACTTCTCCAAACCTGTTCTGGGCCAGCTCTAGGAATGAGCGTTTTCTGCTAATATAATCTTTCCAGCTATGGCAGAACTGGGCTAGAAAAAGGCAGAAGAGGCAGGCAGAGCTTTCTGCCCTTTTTAAAGTATCTTTGGAGCAAAATGCAGATGTTTGCAGTTTTCTGAGCCATTAATTGGAGGTGAATGAACTGCTGGAAACCTCTGGGCTTCTTTCCAACCCAGGGACCAACTGTATTTGGTGTGTCATGTTTCCTTTCATGCTATCATGGGCAAATTGCTGCTCTTACACACTGATTAGCAGGGCTCTGCATCTCTGAAATGCCTCCAGGTGAAAACTCTGCCTCCTACAGAGCAAATCCAAGCTGGGCTCATGAAGAGCAATACAGGGTGCGCATGTTGCAACACCTGGCTCACGAAAGACAGAGGCTACAGTGGAAGGAAGCCTTGTCTGCAGTGTCAAACACTGCCCAGGCCCCAGAGCTCCCCTAGAGGCACACCAGATGTGTGGGACGAGCCATTCCACCACACAGTGTCTCCTCTAGAGCAACAGGAGTTGCCACAGCTGTTCCACTCTCAGGAGTGAGGTTGGCAGTTCCCAGTTTGGGCATTTCAAGAATCTCCGCGAGTTTTCTTGCTCTCTTTTTGCATTCTTAGGTTATCCCTGTCATGAGATGCAGCCCAGAAGATGACTTCTTCATCTGGTCTGGTGAGATCAAGGTGGCACAAGCCTTTTGCAGAATGGGGCTGGGCAGACCTGGATTGACCTCAGGTCCTTCCATCAGACCCATCTTCCTTCAAACTGTTTGGTTTCAGAGGGTGTCACTGGTCTGAGGGAGATTTCTGGGGTGATGTCTACTCTGAACCATGTGGCTAATGGCTGTTGGGATCAGAGGCCAGGCTAGAAAGCACAGAAAAGTCTCAAGCCATCTTCTGGAGCTCTCTTACTGCAATAAAAACTGGCTTTCTAATCACCTGGAATAATTCCCTGAAATTAAGTGAACGTACAGTAAAGACTCCAAAGGAAAAAAGAATAACAGGAAATGGGAAAAGAATACAGCTGTGGGAGCAAGAGGGGACACAGAAAAAGTCCTTCCTTTCAGAGGGTGATGAGGCTCAGGCTTATCAGAAAACTGGCCAGAGCAGGTCCATCATCATCAACACTAAAGGTTCATCAAAATGTGACTGAACCAAGGAGCAAAGAGCTGTAAACCTCTTTTTCCATCCTCTGTCCACCTTCACAATCACTGGAGTTCATTGGAAGAAGACTGCAGGAAAAGGTATCCATCCAATGGGCTGCCCATCAGCAAGCCAGGCGCTGGGTATGGCTCTGAGCCTCATGCCATCCGAGGCAGGGCAGAGACAAGGGAAGACCACCAGCACACAGGGACCTCCAGCCCTAACCTGAGGCTCAGGGGCTGGGGAGGCTCTGGCAGCTGCGCTCTGGGTGAGTCCCCAGCTCAGGTCCCCTGGGGGCTGCAGCTGCTGAGGAGATCATCAGGAGCTGAAGGCTGGGTTTGAGAGCAAGGGATTTTTTTGGCTGAACAGCCATGAATGGAGATTTCAAAGTATGTTTCCTGCGAATGGGATGATTGGCTCCTAAAAGAAGCTGTGCCCCAGTACTTCCCTCCAGCCCTCTGGTAATTAACCCAGGGCTGATGCTGGCCTGGCCAAGTGCAGATGCTTCTCCAGGCCCCAGTGGGTGGTAATGCACAAAGAAGAGATTAGTTATTTATTTGCGTATTTAAAAGTCTTCTGGGGGGGGGGGAATACAGGCAGATCCTTGCCATCGGGAGGGAACGGCACTCACAGTTTGCACAGCGCTGTCTGCCATGTGTTTGCCAGCAGCAAGCTGGATGAGGTCAGCAGAGAGGACCACGGGGCTGTGCTGGGCAGCCTCCTCTGCCGTGTGCTCGCCATCTGTGAGATGTACACTGTGGGCAGCAGGCAGGAGCATGGCAGCTTTTAGTACCTGGGATTCCCTGGGCAGCAGAGGAAACCCTCAGGCGAAGTGGGCAATGTCCCCCATTCCCTCCAGTCATCACCCCACTCATGACAGAGTGGTGATGGGGCTGCCTGGGTGGCAGATGGGTCCTGGGTGCCTTGGGTTTGGCAAGGAGATGGGGGAGGAGGCTCCCAGTGCAACCCATGGCATCTTCTGGAGCTGAGGCCATCTCAGTGCTGCTTCAGCCCCTACGCTGACCTCGTGCCTAATGGTCCTGTCTCAAGCTTCAGCATCCTCTGCATGGCCAATGGATGGGGCAGGCAGCTGCCAGCCCACAGGCCGTGCATGTTTTGGGATGGCTTTCCTAAAGCCAAGGGCTCCCTGGGTGCTCCACCTGCCCCAGACTTCCCTTCTTTGCCAAGTGTGCACAGAGTAGAGGGTGCAGGAGAAGGAAGATATGCCCAGTGTCACACAGCAACCTCTGAGCAGAAAGCAGCTGTCCTGGATCCCACACAGTGACTGTGGCCGCTCAGAGACAAGCCAGGAGCTCTGGGAAATTCTGTCGTATTTGGTGATTCATCACTGGCTTGCTTGGTTCCCATTTTTGGGATGGGCAGTGACACAAGTCGTCTGATTTGTGGCTTTCCAGCAAGACCTGCGTTTTGGAGTTGTTACAAGGATGATATATTTTTGACACTCTGGACAAATTCCCGTGCCTCAGTTTACCTATAAAGAGAGGAGAACAGTGCCATTTTTCCAAGCTGTCACTAGGATGTCAGAGACCCGCAGACTTCGTTGGGATCCTTGCTTGGTGGATGTTCCCCAGAAGTGACACAAGATGCCCCAGTTCTCAAACCAAAGGAGTGCAGCCTGTCTGTGGGCTAGGTCAGGACCAGACTTGCACATTTTGGGCAGGCTGGGTGTGTTGCGCCTACACCCAGACCCATCACAGGGTGTCCTGGCAGCAGGTCCCTTCCTCAAAGGGCTCACACACGCCATGCAAGGAAACACACCCCTGGGATCGCTCCAGGACAGGCAGAGGCAGGGCTGTGGCAGGGCCATGAAATGGTTAAAGCAGTATCTTGTGCTCCCTCCCGATTGTTCTGCAAGGTGTGTTGTGACATTTGTACTTCCTCCTGGCAGCCGGGCCAGCAGAAGCAGCGTGGGAGAGGCTGCGGGGATGCCCTGAGGGTCTCTGCCAGGAGGCTCCACCATGGCCTTCTTCAATCTCCTTGGCCGCTGCCCTGTGATGATACTCCTGGCTGTGTTTTGTGATGTGATCGGGCTGATCATCCTCTTTCTGGGAATTTTTGCTCCACTGAGCTCCTGGGACTTCTTCATTTACTTCGGAGCTTTGCTGCTTGCCTTCAGCCTTCTCTTCTGGATCTTCTGGTACACATTCAACATTGAGGTCCCCTACAGGGAGCTAGGTTTCAACTAACCCACGGCTCTGGCAAAGACAAAATGGAAACTTGCACTTGGAGGAGAAATGTCACATGCTGGGAAGCTCTGAAGCGTCATCCAGTTGGTGAAGAGCATGCAAAAAGATGAAAGAGGAGGGCCTGCTGGTCCCCCCAGCTTCAACCAGCCAGATGGACCCTCAGAGAAGAGGTACCTACAGCTTGACACTCACAGGGATGCTTTACTAGCATTTGGGAATGCAGAGGTCTTGGCAGGGCAGCCAGACCTTCCTCCTGGTGACAGCCACTCTTCAGGAGTAACATTAGGTTTTAAAATGCTCTGAAATGGATTAATGATGGACAGGAACTTGATTTGGATGAGATGAGCCTGTCTGAATTAATGTGGGGAGAGGGATTTTTGGTGGAAATTGGAGGCGGCCAGTATCTGGGGTTTATTTCCTCAGTTCTTTCCATTGGACGTTGCTGTGAGTTGTAGGTCCTGGAGAGCCACTGCTCTCTAGTGACAGCTTCTGAGAGCAGAGGGACTGGAAGCACGAGTGTTCTTCCAGCAATACAGCCTGGACAAACAGAGAAAGTCATTAAGAATAATCCAGATCCAGGCTGTCACTTAGCACCAAAATCTCTGTGTAAATGGTGTGTGGGTGAGCAAACCTGGCTGCTCGTTGGCATACCCCCATCACACCTGTGTGCACTACTGAGCTGCCCAGGTTGGGGAGGTTTTGCCAGTGGGGAACGTATTTCCAGGAAGGTAACGTGGAACAGTGAAAAACCAAGCGAGTGCTGTGTCACCAAGGCACTGGTATGGTGCCCTGTACACGACCTGGTGACAAATGCTGAATACATGGAAACTAGGTACAAAGTGCCATGTTTGAACACTGGCTTTAAGATTAGGCTTTCTTAATCTCAGGCTGGTCTAGAGCATGCCTGTGGGTCCAGAAAGCACCGCTGCATGGATGGCATCCTGTCTCCTTCCCAGCATCCCAGGAGGATGCTCCTCCCTGTCAGTATGCTGACAAGGCTGTGAAGCCAATTAGCTCAAGCTAATTAACGAACAGCCACACAGTGCTCGGAGCTGTACAGTACATGATAAAAGGATGATGACAGTAGGAAGATGCCAAGCATGCATTCGCATACCTAGAGCCAACCCTCACCCCATGGAGCACATGGTTTTATAGCAGTACACGAGACAAAGAGAAGGTAGAGATGGGGGAGATGTCCCCGACGGACACACAAATGAGTATCAGAGCTAAGACCAGACACACCTCTCTTCAGTTTTGGCATCTCAGCCAGTAGAGTGCCCCCAGGCATATACCTCCTGGTGTGTTACACAGAAAAACTGCCAAACAACATGATCCCCATCCGAGGGTCACTCAAGAGAGATTTTGTTGCACAGTTTTTTTATGAAGCCTCTCAAAACTGGTGAGAAATATTTTTTTATTATTATTTGTTTTTTCTTTATTTCTTGTCTTGTTGGCAGTGACTGTAAGAGGCAGCCAGGAAGTTTTCTCAATTCTCCCGGGAGCATGGAAGCTGCAGTGTGAGTCACTGTGTTTTACAGCCTTACACTTACCAGGATGCTCAGACCAGGAGTTCAGCTTTACCCTCCACCACAAGGTCTCAGGGTGCTTTTCCACCCATGTGCCCTTAGGACTACCTCCTACAAGAATTTCCTTGATGCACCTCCAGATAAGAGCCTGTAATGAGCATCTGTTAGATACTGCAGCTATATATAAGGAAGGGCAGCAACAACCAACACCCTCCTTTATTTGCTCTGGGATTTTTAATTGGTAAAGCTAAGCCTGTTCAATCCAGCCTGTAAAGCTTGGCTGAAGGCTTTGTCACCATTCAATGTCTGTCTCTTGTTGAGTGCATGCCTGGGTGCGTCACTCAGGAACACCACCCAGGGAGCTGGTGGCATCACCCAGGGAAACCAGCAGGAAATGGGTGCAAGGTCCCTGTCACTACTTGTCCTTCTGCCCCCTCGATGGGCTCAATCACTCCTGAATGATGCTTGTTGTGGGGCAAAGTCTCTGCTAGCACCTGACACTGGGTGAGCCAGAGCACATCTCCAGCACATGGCTGGGGGAAAGCTTTGGGTGATGAGGATTCCAGAGTGATGCTCATGGCCAAGCAAGTGCTGTCACCCCTGTGCCCAGACCTCCTGTGTGCAATGATGAGGCCATATCCAGCTCCATGGAGGAGCAGAGGCCTCTAGTGCACCCCACCACATACCAGCTCTGGGTCAGTCCCAGCATTGCATTTCCAGGGTGCTGCAGACCCCAGGATCCTGCACTCCCTGTGGGGTATTCCTCCTTGCACATTCTCCCCTCTCCAGTTCATCTGTCCTCTCTGATAGCGACCCAGCTCACAGGTCTGCAGGCAGGGCAAGCACCATTCCCCAACGGGATGCACATGGTCCACAAGTCAAACCCAAACATGTCTCTGTATTTGTGTGTGTGTGTGTCCAAGGTGCCTCCAGCACCCTGCACCTCTGGGCAGCTGGCACAGAGAGTCACAGGCAGGACATGGTGGCTTCAATCCCTCCAGTGCATGGACAGAAGCAATTAGCCAGACCCAGCGACTAGTGGGAAAACTACCTGCTCGTGGTGTGCGCCCATGTCAGAGCACTGCGGGATTTCTCTTGTCTCCCTGTCTCACCTTCTCCCATGGTGGGCTCCTAGGGAACCTGCACACCCCACCACCTCCAGAGCACCAGCTCTGAAGGTCTTCGATCTTCCTTTCCATCCCAGGGACACAGGTTCCTCCTTCTTCTGCCGTTCCCGAACCACACTGGCTAAAGCAGAGCCCACTGCTGCTCAGGCCAGCCTCACCAATAAGCTTGAGTGAAGCACCTGTGATTCCCTGTCCCTTGGAGGCTCAGTTCCACAGCAGTGGGAGAGCTGGCCCAAGCCCAGCGTGTTATTGACCCAAGAAGTTATCTTTCATGGTTGGGTTTTTGTGGTTTTGTACTTGTTCTGTTTGTTCTGGGCTGCTAGGGGTGTTTTACAGCCATGGGCACGGCGTAGCCCAGTGGCTATCGCACAGTGCCCATGCACGCAAGGCACTGGGAACCAGCAGCCCTCCTCCACTCCCTGACCAGTCTGCACCCCCACCACTGAAAAGCAGCACCCTCCAGCTCTTCCTGCCCTGAGACTTTAACACTGAAATGCTGTGGAAATACAGGCCAAGAGTCCTCCTCCACGACTCATGCATGCTCTCAGGAGGCTGGTCTCCCTTAAACATCTTCCACTGCACAGCACTACAGCCACAGCATCCCCTACTCAGCACCAGGGGAGGCACCAGGGGGAATATCAACCCCAACGATGTCACATGTTTGCTCCTGTGTCTGGATTTTCAAGAGGGGAAAAATCCTCCTTTTGTGACCAAATATTAGCAGCATTACTCATAGCCTGACCTGGGCTGATCCTGAATGTCACCGGGCAGCCCACAATGTCCAACTCAGAGGATGACGTGGGTGCACGCATGAACATCTTGATGGTGACTAGGGATGAAGACAAGGCTGAG